AGAAAGAGAAAGAGAAAGAGAAAGAGAAAGAGAAAGAGAAAGAGGAGGAGGAGGAGGAGGAGGAGGAGGAGGAGGAGGAGGAGGAGGAGGAGGAGGACGACTGTGGGGTCCGTGATGTTATCTGGGCTTGGTGGTTTTCTTGCAGACATTTCATTACCCAACCAGACAACATCATCAGTGCTCATAAAGGAGGGGGGCTTGCAGAGAGGAGGAGGAGGGGAAGAGGAAGGAGGAGAAGGAGAAGGAGAAGGAGAAGGAGGAGAAGGAGAAGGAGAAGGAGAAGGAGAAGGACTGTGGGGTCCGTGATGTTCTCTGGGCTTGGTGGTTTTCTTGCAGACATTTCATTAACCAACTAAATAACATCATCGCTACTAGAAGGGAGTGGAATTTGTTATCTGTTTATATACTAATGGCTTGTCCTGTCAATGCTGGTGGGAGTGGCTTGATAAAATAAACACTAAACCATGCCAATATGTTCCAACCATTCCTTTAGGGGAAAAAAATCAGCAAACGGATCTCATCTGTTGTGTCCTGTTTCTTTCTCACAGGTGACAGGGACGTCCAAACGGATGACATGCCGAAGCTCAAAGTCGTCGAGAACTTCATCTTGGAGAGCATGAGATACCAGCCCGTGGTGGACTTGGTCATGCGCAAAGCCTTGCAGGACGATGTGATCGATGGCTATCCCGTGAAGAAAGGGACCAACATTATCCTGAACATCGGGCGCATGCATAAGCTGGAATTCTTCCCGAAGCCCAATGAATTCTCCCTTGACAATTTTGAAAAGAGTGTAAGTATTGTCTTTTGCTCTAAATAGGGCTTCGTGTTTTGTTTAGGGAATACGACTCTACGCAAACACGTTGTGAGTAATCACTTGGACGCAAGATACAGCGGCTCTTTGTCCAGACATTACAGGTAGTCCTTGACTTACGACCACAATGGAGCCCAAATTTTTTGTTGCTAAGTGAGACATTTGTTAAGTCACTTTTGCCCCATTTTACAACCTTTCTTACCACCGTTGTTAAGTGAATCACTGCAGTTGTGAAGTTAGTAATACCGTTGTGAAGTGAATCTGGCTTCCCCCATAGACTTTGCTTGTCAGAAGTTTGCAAAAGGGGATCACGTGACTTTGGGACACAGCAACCGTTATAAGTATGAACCAGTTGCCAAGCACCTGAATTTTGATCACCTAGCCAGGGGGGTTCCTGCAAAGGTTGTAACTGTGAAAAATGGTCATAAATCACTTTTCACAGGGCCGTTGTAGCTTTAAGTCGAAGACTACCTGTGTCTTGTTCTCTGCCTTCTCCACTGATCCCACCAAATGGGGTGGCACTCCCTCCCCCACGAAAAAACAAATCTGTAGGACCAGGTTGTAAAATTGGGCATGATTCATTTAATAACTACCGTGTTTAGCAATGGAAATTTTGGTCCCAATTGCAGTCGTAACTTGAGGACTACCAATGTTACATTTTGACGCCTATCACCTGCCCGGCTCCTATATGCAAACTGAGTGGCCTAAAGAGGAAGCGAATAAATGGTTAATGAACCAAAATATTGTTTTACGCAGGTCCCCTACCGTTACTTTCAGCCCTTTGGCTTTGGCCCCCGCGGCTGCGTTGGGAAGTTCATCGCGATGGTCATGATGAAGGCGATCCTGGTGACCCTCTTGAGAAGGTGCAGCATCCAGACTCTGAAAGGCGAAGGTCTTAACCACATTCCCAAAAACAATGACCTGTCTCTGCATCCAAATGAAACGCAGCCGTTGCTGGAAATGATCTTCACACCGAGAAAATCCCTGGGCAAGAACGATCAGGGTCAATAAAAACACAAGTTCCAAGTTCGGATTGACCAAGATGATCCCAGCCAGATTGGAGGGGTTGGGTGACCCTACTCAAATTCAAAACTCTCACCCACTCAAGGTGCATATCGGTCTACTCACTTGATGTAACGTTTTGTTGCCGCCAACAGTTTGCTCATTTAAGGGGCCCTTTTGGTAGAACTCAGGTTTAGCAGGAGGATAATATTTGTACTGTTGATAATAATAATCGTGCTCAGGAGGGCCCATAAACACCTGTAGAATTTATTCTGTGCATATGGAATTGTGAGATAGAGATATATTTTTTTTTTCTGGAAGAAACCACCAAGAACCCTAGTGTCATGGTTCCGACAGATGAAACTCTGCTGCTAACATCAGATGCTTTTGCATTGACACCTAGATTTCTGCACGTCTACGGAGATGAATTGGGCCATGCAGCCGCCGTGGCTGATAGCTACTGTTGTTATTCTTCCATGCTTGTGTCCGTTAGGAAGTAGAAGCGAAGTTTTTGAAGTAGAACGAATGATACAGCTTATTCAGAGCAACTTACCCATTTCGCAGTCTCACGAAGATGCTTTCAT